TGAAAACATTTAGCGATAGCAAAGTTTGCAGTTTAAGACAGGGGTTCCCAATCCCCGGTCCGGGGACCAGTGTCGGTCCATAGGTTGTTTGGTACCGGGCCACAAAAAGTACTTTCGTTTTTCTAACTTACTTCATTCAAAAAGAAAGAATCAGTCATAATAATCTGTCAATATTTCAAAACAACAGGTCATACAGACTCCGACAGAAGAAAGTGTGGTTGTTTGCCCTCACCCTTTGGGGGGGGGGGGGGGGGGATACACTACACCTTTATGTCTACAGTCAGTCTCCGAATCAGCTCCGTGTCAACAGGCATGTCTTTGTTTTCTGAGAGTAAACAAATTAGGTCTCCTCATCAGCTCAAGTCAATAAGTGAACTGGTGATGTTTCAGCTACGGGACAACAGCAGCTACCAGTACCAGTTCCCCCCCAAAACACAATTTTAACATTAATATATTTATCATGTATAAACGTATACTCTGTTCTGCTCGACCTGCACCACCTCCTGGTATCTTATTGCAGTGTTTCTACAGATTACATTACAAGGTTTTTTTTTTCTGTATATGTTGTTGTATAAAGGCTGTGGTGTACAGTGGCTCCGTGGCAACAGCCCTCGATTTGGTTGTACCCCCGCGTTACAATGACAATAAAGACTATTGTATTCTATTCTATTGTAATGCAAAAATGCTGTCAGTTAAACCTGAGCTGCAAGTTGACACTCGATATTTCAGACCACAGAAGAAGACACGCTGATTGAGTGAAAAAGGATTTTCTAACACCGAGGACAAAGGAGGACAAAACAAAGAAATCTGAGTGAGTGTTTGTGCAGCGAGAGGTTGTCATGAGAAGAAGATAAACCTGTAGAGGTCATGTTCTAAATTCTTAGCTAATGGCTCTGAAGGCTTTTTAGACTCACTTTGCTTGATGTTATTTTTTAAATAATTGATCAGGAAATGAATGAAAAGAATGTCCTCAAATCTAATTGCATTTTGTGGTTGAAGGATATTAACACCACAGCCACGTGAAGAAAATATTTCACTCCACGACAGTTGAGAAAGAGTCTCGGGCTGTTTGACGATGGTGTAGGCACAGCTGTTCCCTACAGGATAATGTCAAGAGCTAAGCCTTAGGATGTAGCCATAAAAGTGGGCAGAGTCAAAGAGTTCTCAGACAGATGTTACAATTTCTGTTCTAAGTGTCTGACTTTAATCACGACGACTTGTTCAGACATGAATTCTCTCTTCCACAAGTGTCTCCAAAAGATTTGACAAGTTTCATCATTAAATGTTTGTCAAGCTGCGTTATGTCTTCTATTCTACCAGGTTTTTATCTATCCTTCAAAAAGAAACAACTCCTAACAGTCGGCACAGACATAAAACTTGAATGGAAACATTATTTCAATTTTTGCTTCAGGTTTTGATCTTTCTTTTTTCCTTCACCTGTAAAAATCTGAAAGAACATTTGAAGGACCTGGATTTCAGACAAAGAACAAGGTTGTGATAAGAGATATCAAAGGTCAAAGGCCATCCTTCAGAATTCTATGTAGTACATTTGATTTCTGCCAAAAAAAACCTTTGAAACAATATTAACTGTTTTTTTTCTGACGTAGAGTCCAAATATATAATTAAAGAGACATTTACAAAGAACGAACTATAATTCAAACCTTCATGAATATTTAAAACCACCTCTTCAGATTAGGACAGAGGAGAACAAAGCATGGAATTCTAAGTATTCTGAGCGTTAGTCAAAGTGTCTGTACTCTCACCTCGGCCACAGGTTCTGGATGCCGGCCTGTGCTGGACTGTATTCCCTTTCGATGCGAGTCTTGTGTTTCTGAAGTGAACTGTTGTAGTGTTTCCAGCCGTCTCTCTTCATGTACTCGTCAGCCATCCAGAGAGCAGCAGGAGCAGCAGCAGCAATGGGAGTTCACTCCTGGTTGATGTCCTTAACTCTGAACTGATAACTCTGACACAACCTTATTTCCTGACAGCAAACAGGACGAGCGAGTCAAACTTGTTGGGACACACACACACACACCTGAATACTAAGTTCTGATTTGCAGGATGGAAGGCATCTCAGCTGTCAATCCCCGTTTCTGTTGTGCAAATGATAAAAAATAAATAAATAAATGAAAGTAAAAAAAAAACTGTTAGATTTAATCATTTTATTTATTTGTTTTTTTCAAATAAAATGTTCTGAAAAACGTGCTCCTTTGAGTTTAACAATAGTAGATGTCCATTCTGTTACATTACTGCCACCTTTTGGTGCAAATAGTCTTTTTTATCAAAACTTCTAATCAGGCTTTTTTCTAAATGTTTACCATTGGATATTTGGTCTACATCATCAACTAACTAACTAACTTATAACTCAATAACTGATTTGTTCTGGTTTTAGAACAAGCTTAGACCAGGAGTATCAAAAAAAAATCTAAAAATTAAATTAAAGCTGATTAAACTGTTCAAGCCTGGTCGTTACTTCGATGCTCTAGGCCAGAACCCGGTTTGGCGCCCTCTATCGTTAATGTTTTTATATTGGTCTTTTGAGGCGTCACACGTTGTAGTTTCATGGAAACAACAAAATACTCCTTAAGGTTCACAAATAATTAATTTATTATATTTGCAAAAAATGGTGGATAAAAAGGTTTCTCATGGGTTCAGTGTTTGTCGGGTCCAATATCTACAGACGACACATGTTTGAAAAGAAAAGGGTGAACAGCTAGCAGCGAGTCTGTTTCTGTTTGTTTTTGATTTTCTTTTTTCTATATGAAATTGAAAAAGAAAATGGAAAAATAAACAAGTCCAAGCAACTTTTTCAACTAAAAAAACCAAAACAAAATACAGTTTCTAGATGTCAATGATTAATCATCCGTATAAAAAAGAAAAGATTAAGTAAATATATTAATAACTAGCTAAACTGCCCCGTCAGTCTGACATTGTCAATAATAGTGGGGAGGGATGGGATGATAGCAACTCTCAGTGTAATCATGGCTGCCAGGGAGGGGTTTTGTTATAGAACCGGTTAAGTCTGATTAATTGATGATAAGATTTTTTTTTTTTTTTTTTTAAACAAACACTTTTTTTTGTGTGTATTTGTACTTACTAATGGGAGCGGCAATCGTGTGCGTCATGAGGTACAATCAGTGAGTCTACCTATAGACCGGCTGTTGTCACGACCTGAGCGGTACAGAGACACGTCAACTTTGGTTTGCCTGGAAAAACAAATACAACGTCATTCAGGTTTGAATATACAGATTGTTTTTTTTTAATGATTTTTTTTTGTTAGTTTAAATCTCTTTTACCTTGTCTCCTTGCTGGCAGCCATGTTTTGGTGACAGTTAAGCATTTCTGTGCCAGGATTATTTCAGGTTACATAAAAGTTTCTTCATAAAACTACAACTTAAACAAAACTTGAAATATCTCCTAAACCTTGGTGTAAGAAAATAGTATTTCATGGAAATAAAGCCACACCGGTCGGTGCTGATTTATGCATTACATTTTGACAGCCCTAATGCACACAATACATATATTAGGGCTGTCATAATGAATGCAATAATCACACTAATTAATTTGTGAGGATTCAATCTAATTATCTTGTTTGTTTTTACATATTAACAAAGGTTGGGATTAATTTTAGGTCAGGATTAATTAAAAGAGCAAGTTCTCCATTATAATAATCACATGGCTCGACCTTTTCTATATATTACATGCAGTTTCACACCGTCTCCTCTATACAAACCTGATCTCTGCAACACTATCAAAACTAACAACAAAAAAAAATCTGAATATAACGCATGGCTTTATTTCTGTGAAATACGGTGTATTTAAAAACAAAGTCATCAACAGGTTCAGACTTCAAAAAGACAGCGGACATTCAACTGTGCCAGAGACACTTCTCAATTCAACCACCTGAGGCACTCTGTAAAAAAAAAAAAAAACTGGACCAGACCGTTTGTCGCATTAGTGTCACATCAAGCTCCAAACTCCAGGATGAAAGGGGGGGGCGGGGGAGGGGTGTCCAAACATAACACTAAGTTACTGCATACATGATAATCTATACTACATCTGTAGAAGTATACTTTTATGTCACTGAGAAGTATTCACATTTCGTATATAAGAAAAGTTGATTTTATTTTTCATTAAGAATAATGAGTCACTTTAATCTGAACAGACCTTCATCTAAGAAGCCCCAACTGTCGCTCTATCAAAGTTAGCACTGTTCCAGTGGCCAGGTTTTCGCTCCACCTCAAGCAAACTCCTCAACAGGCTGCACCATCAGTTTCCTTTCCGACAAAATGATTGGTGGGGGAGACGAGAGTTCGTAATAAATAATACCACTGACTCTTAGCTTTAAAAAAGGCTAAATATAAAATGGCTTTTGTAAATTTGTCACCTCCGAGATAGTTTTAAAAAGCCACGGCCAGTTCGTAAATAAGGATCTTTTCTGCCAGTTTGTAAATAATACATCATTTTACAGGTTACACGACAAGTGGACTTCTCATGAATGAAACATGAAAAAAAAAAAATAGCGTAGAATGTGTCTGGTACATATATGTTACTTAGTTGTCGTCACACAGTCACTGACTGATCATAAATTAAAGAGATCATAGTTGTTGTTCTCGGTAATGTTCACTTGGGGTCCTCGATGGTTCCTGTGCTCAGGTCAGTCATTTTAGGGTATTTCACCTTCTTCTGGTCCAGCTCGTTCTGTGCCCACAGCAGCAGCTTCAACAGTTTGGCCAGTTTGGGCGTGGATTCGCGGTTTTCATAGTCCAGCACAGCTTGGTTCACCTCACTCCACACCTGGGCACAGGGGAGGTGTGTCACAGATAAGAGGCTTCTCTCACATTTCATTTTCCCCTCACAATAATCCATTTTCATTTAAAAACCACATACTGTATCTTCATAACAGAAGGGTTCCAATAGTTAGGGAAAGGGACAGAGAATTCAATTATCTTAATAATTTAATGTCTTGGTTCAATCCTTTCTGAATTTAGATTTTAAAAAAAGTAAAAAACTTTTTGTTTTCCTGTGTTAGTTTATCTGACCTTTTGCCGCTGCATCATGTTGAGAAGGTCTCCAAAGGGTGAATCCTCAGGGTTGTCAAAGGCCAGAAGAGCTAGTGTCCTCTCCATCTCCGTCAGGCACTCTCGGCTCTCCTCCCCCTGCTCTGCCAGTTGTGTCTGCGCAAACTCCAGCGCTGACTCAGTTTCTCTTAGCCTGATTAGCTCAATTAAATGCTGTTGCTGAAATTAGAAAAAAACAAAACAAATTGTCTTCATTATTAAGTAGATGCTTCATGTACAAAAAAGGCTAGCTCTTATAAACAGTAACGCTGACATTTACACACTGACGTAGCCACATCACTACCAAAAACTGAAAGGATTCTATGGTGACATTACACATGGATATTTATATACATACGCTTCATAATTAAAGTCCTGAAAAACAGATGTTAGAATTAAGAGGAACACTTCTCAAGTAGGTTTGATAATATGGGCAACATGTGCAACCAGCAAAGAAACATCAGGTGCATTGTTTTGCAACAGAACAGCCACATTATTATGTTTTTTTTTCATTTATAAAAGGTCACAGCAAATGTACCTGAAGATGAAAATACAAGTATCGGTTGGTGTCAAGCAGCTCTGGGTGAAGGCTGTTGATTAGCGCGATAGCTTCCTGTATCTGTCCCTTCAGGATCATCTCTCTGATTTTTATTCTTTCATCCAGAGAGTCCAGGTCCACACTTGGTTCGATTCCAGACTCCATACGAAACTTCTCTGCTGCCTCTTTAAAACCCTCTAGAAAAATAACAGAAAAATAAATAAAAAAACAAAAAAAGAATGATTGAAGTGTGACTTCATTGACCAGTTTACTCTATGCAAAATTTCTCTAACTTACCAAACAATGTTCAAAGAACACAGGTTTCAGAGGACTTAATGCCACACTCTACAGAAAAATGCTAGGCGTTTCAGAAAGGACTTAACGCCACACTACAGAAAAATGCTAGGCGTTTCGGAAGTTAAAACTCCCCGTATATACGTCATTTTAAGTGAACTGGAATTTGTCTCAATTACGAGACATAACATTTACACCTATAGTCAGTTAAGAGTTAATATTCAACCTTATTTCACATTTTTAGGACTTTTGAAGAAACCCAGAGTACCTGGAGGAAACCCCTGCAAACCTGGGGGTGAACATACCAACTACATTTAAAAGGACCATCAGGCCTGGAACCAGTGGTCTTGCTGTAAAGCTCAAACATGTACCACACTACTATCATATGGTTGAAATACATAAATCAGTAAAACAATATCAATACCCTCAAAGACGTTTTTAGAGGAAAATACTTAAAGCAAGTCTCCAATTGCCAGAATTAAAGATATTTAATGCTTTTGGAAAAAACCAAAAACAAAGACATGGCCATCATATTTAACAATAATACGATCTTAAAAAACGACTAGAGAGGATCTGATAATACAAGGGTAACTGGAGCTGCTATGTTTTGTTTATTGTTGAGTACAGTTATAGTAGCACTCTGGATAACTCGTGTTCTTTCACATTATAAATACATTAATGCCCTGGTAGCAGCAAAAAGCGTTTCAGCATTTTTAGCTCATTTGATATTCTTACTTTATATATACTATATTTTTATGAATATAATTGCACTTCACCAATGTTGACCAAATGTTTTTGCGCCTTTGTTCACATAGCAGTTGTGGCGATTTAAAGCGGCTACATGCAGCTGCCTTACCTGTAACCAGGTAGTTCATAATGAGCCGGTTCATGTCCGCCCTCTGAATGTGAACGTTGTTCAGTTTGTCCATCCACTCCTCTTTTGTGATGTCCTCTGGCTTTTCAGCATAACTCATCATTGGGGAGCTGAAAACACATTAGTGATGGAGCAAAAAATGTGAGCAAGGCTGACACAGCTCGGTCACAGCTCGTTCCTACAGGAGCAGAAAGCCGATGTAACCGCGAACAGAGAGCGTAGAAGAAACACAAACAAACACCAGATTGTTAGGCTTCAGACCGCAAATAACAAGCAAACGACCGAAGCTTCGTTACGTGTCGAAGAAAGCGTTAAAGTGCTTTCAAGCGTCACAAAAATATTGGGCATACCCGCCGATGCTACCAAAATATTTCCTCCGGGCTAGTTAGCAGACTAAGCGCGTACATAACTCACCGTTCAAACACAAACTCCGACGATTATCTTGTCCTTTCTATGTAAGAAGACGAAAACCAAACACTTCTGTGTATTCTTGTTGGTGCCTTGAAAGAATAAAATAATAAAACCGACTGTAAACAGCACTGACACAGATAGGCTTTGGCTGTTAGCTAACTAACCAGGCTGCTATCGCGATAGCTCGTCAGCCCCGAGCGCGGTTTGATTGGTGGGCATAATGACGTCACGGTTGCCGAGGGACAGTTGTCTGTGGCACCAAACGTAAGATTTAAACATGTCTGAATGTCTATAGTTATGAAACGATTAAAAAAACCTCTTAGACTATCGTAATCATTAGTATTTTGAGCTACAACGCTTAGCAGAAGTTGTTAATGTTAATGTTTGAAATTGTTATGTTGGCCTTTGTTCTTTCCTCTGTGTTCACCTCTGTTTTTGTCTCATTTTGACCAAATGATACGATGCCAAAATGCATTACTTTCCCGACAAGGTTTTTGTCATACTTCAGTTATTAAACCAGCAAACTGTTCAGATTGTAATTGTTTTTTTATATAGTTTATTTTGTCTAGGATTTTATATTTAATTTCAAGCATGTTTTCTAAATGTGACAGTATATTATGGTTTTGTGGGTAATATGCATATTCAGATAATATTTGCAAATGTCACTATTTCAATGTGATTTTCCTATTTCCCATTCTTCCAAATAAATGGTCAGTGAATTGTTAATATTGTACACTTACCCACCACAATGTGAAAGAAAGTTTGAAATAAAAAATAATGCCGTTTTTACTGTGTTGAAATCTTTACAAGCCAGACCCTTTACAGACCCCTTTTCTTCTTTCTGCGGGGTTTTAAAGCATCTCTGCATCCTTTAACATGTACTACTGCCACCTAGTGGGTGTATTGTTTATCTTTCATCCCAAAGGCAGAGCTTTCTTTTTTTGTAGAAAGAAAAAAAACAAAAAACAAAAACAAAAAACAGACGAGGGCTGCTGATGCTAGTGGCTCACAGCGTCACACACCTTCAGTCGGTCATCAACGTGACGTGAAGTGGTCGTTTTTAAGGATATTTCTACATACATTCTTGAATACGTTGATATTTTCATCTCCATCATTACATCTCATCATCACCATCACCGACCTCATCCTCATCCCTGTGTTTGTGAACGCGCACGTCGCGTTGGTGGGGGTTGGTGGAAGTGGGCGGAGTCGTGGCACTGCTGCAGCTGTCCATGGTTGTGTAGAAACCACAGAGGCTTCGTGTATCTAAGAGATGCGTTCCTAGTCACGCAACCCATCTTCAAAATCACAGCGTGACGGGATCGTTCGTTTCACGGCACAAAGAAGCGACTGAAAGGTGAGTCCGCGTTCGTCTTCATCCGTACCGGTGCCCTCTGACCGCGAGGATGGACCGCTGACGATGCAGCCCAGTCTCACACCGTTGAACAGGCCAAGAGGCAAACCAACATGGATGCTGCTACTGCTGCTGTGCGCTATACAACCCAGCTGATGATGATGCTGCTGCTGATGCTGCTGCTGATGCTGCTGATGCTGCTGATGCTGATTCCAGCACAGGGATCGCACTAATCCGTCATGTTAGACCTTATGATGGGAACGTGTTGTTTTACATACAAACGTTTTCCACCCACTGCACATGATCGTGGTGAAAAAAAAAATATATATAATCTGCCTCACACAACGTCACAGTTACATCTAGATGACATCCGTTTGTATTTTTTTTTTTTCTTCAATTCAACGAAGCCTCGCCGTCTTACTGCAGCCCTGGTTGTGTAGATGTCAGTTAGTGATTTACTTCCAGCAGCAGGAGCAGCGACTGTTGCTGCCAAGATGCCACACTTACTGTATATTAATGCAGGACATCTAGACCTGGGGTCTCAAACTCATCGTCACCAGCGGGGGGGCGGGGGGTGACATCAGCAATACAGTTCCTTATTCATAGATGTTTCTGCAAAGTTACAAATATTCTACGTTGTTGTGTAATTAAAAACAGAACTCTGCTGCATGGACCCTACAAAATGACTTGGTGGACCACATTTGGTCCCCGGGCCTCGAGTTTGACACACGTGATCTAGACTATGAAGTATTAGCCCCACTGATGTGGCTGAATAATTCCTAAATGTGACGCAGAGATGTCTGTGGATCAGCTGTCGGGAGGATTTAAACCCACAGCCTCAGACAGAAAGGGCCTGAAATCCCTGAACAGAACAGGATGTGATCCATGGCCGTGCGTCTGGTCTGTGTTTCTGTGTACAGCCCGTGAAGATAAGGCACAATGGCTGATCAACAGAGGCAACGCAGTCTGTCCACCGCTGGTGAGTCCCTCTACGTGGTGTTGGGAGTGGAGAAGGTAGCCACGACAGATGACATCAAGAGGTCTTACAGGTGAGAAACGCGCCGCGTCTCCTGAAACGTCCGCGAGGCCCCGCTCGGGTTCTGATTCATCTGAATGTCTCCTACGTGCAGGAAGCTGGCGTTGAAGTTTCATCCAGACAAAAATCCCGACAATCCAGAAGCAGTAGACAAGTTCAAGGAGATAAACAACGCCCACGCCATCCTGAACGACCCCACCAAGCGTAACATCTACGACAGATACGGCTCTCTGGGACTGTACGTGGCCGAGCAGTTTGGTGAAGAGAACGTCAACACTTACTTTGTTCTTTCAAGCTGGTGGGCAAAGGTAAGACGGAGTGAAGTAGTGGATGTGGTGGTTCTGTCCCTCACCTGACGCTGCCTGTGTTTCACCCCTGGATGTGCTCTCCTGCAGGCTCTCTTTGTGTTCTGCGGCCTGGCCACCGGCTGCTACTTCTGTTGCTGCCTGTGCTGCTGCTGTAACTGCTGCTGTGGAAAGTGTAAACCTCGACCTCGGGAGGCACAGGACCAGGACTTTTATGTGTCCCCTGAAGACCTGGAGGCTCAGCTGCAGTCTGACGAGAGAGGTAAAACAGAACAGACTGTCAGTTACCACGTCTGTGCTGGACACTGTACGTGGTTACAGTTGTGTCGTAGACGTATGTGTGCATCTGGATTATGTAATGACAGAATGGACATTTGCTATAAACAACTATTGACTAAAATTACTACTAAAACAGGAAAATGACAGAAATATTAAAAAGAATCACATTTTTTTATCAGACAGAAATATTTGACTCAATAAGAAAGTTATTTTTGATTTAAATTCATTTTAGTTGACGACTGCATGAATTCATAGACCTACAGGTGAAGAACAGAAATGTTGATATTTCGTCTCTTTAAATTCACAGATTAGTACAAACCAGGACTGTTATGGTGGTAGTGTAGGGTTAATACTCTCTGCTGCACAATCTGCAAACTACTACACTCTTATTCATGCTGCCATCTGGAGTTTCTGGGTTTTTTTTTAAACAAGTTTCTTGTGCGCTGTCACTCAGTAGATCCTGTGCATTTTCTCTTGGCTTTTGGTGCATTGCTGCCATCTACTGGATTAGATAGTGTGCATCCGTGATATGAGAAAATTAAAATGAACTAAAATAAACATGTTTAAAAAACATTGTTTTACGCACTCCAACAATAACATTTTTTACTTTACTCTCTAACAGTTTGTGTTAAATATCTCCATCTCTGGCTCAGACCGTATGTGGTGCAGACTGGCTGGCTGTGGCGTTTGTCATAGTGATTACAGGGCTGAACACACGCCACTGAAATGTTCTTTCTCTTTTGTCCAAACAGAGGCCGGGGGCGACCCTATAGTGCTGCAACCATCTGCAACAGAGACAACCCAGTTAACGTCGGACGGCCACTACTCCTACCACACCGACACCAGCTTCAACTAATCACGTCCTCCTGGTCCGCCCCGGCCCGCTGTCCTGCCTGCGTCACCCGCTCCACTACAGTGAGATGAAAGAAACAGGCCAGTCCATCCTTCCACTTTAAACAGGGAGCCGTGTCCAGTAGAGGGACTAGTGAGCATGG